TTGATGAGTTGGAAGCAGGATTATGTTAGAGTCTTCCTCTGATCAGACCTCCTCCTATCTGCTTAACTTTGCCTGGGAAGGCTATTCTGGACCCTTCCCCATCCCCACCGTGGGGGGTTAGCTGCCAACACGTCCACACGTCCAGCCCTCACGGTGCTACAAAGTTCTCCATCAGCACAACTTCATCACAGGTCTTGCACTTACTGTGTGCCTGTCTGTCTTGCTCAGCAGAATGTGGGTGGGCCCTGGAGCACAGGGGCCACACGGTATTCCTCTTTCTAGCCCCAGGGGGTAGCCCTGAAGGGCATCAATACAAACTTAAAGAATGAATGAATTGCAATTCTAGCCAGACACATCATTCGGAATGGCAAAGAAAACAGAAGAGCCCTGTGCAGAGAAGTGCCTTTTAAGTTTTGATAAGAGCAGCTGAAAGTAGTCCAATTCCTCGCTTGGGAGTGAAAGAAATGAAGGAGATGTGTCTTGTGTACAACTCTTCTGTGACATTATAATGGTGGATACATTTTTCAGAAGGATAGAAGGCACAACACAAAGAGTGAAACCTAATGTAGCTATGGTTGACAATGATGTGTCAGGGTTGGTTCATCCAGTGTAACGACGTGCCACCGTGACAATGCACGCTGACCCTGGGGGAGGCTGTGGGGTTGGGAGAGGGGGTATGTGGGAACTCTGCTTTCCACTCGATTTTGCTGTGAACCTAAAACTGCTCTAAAAAATAAAGTCTATTACTCTTTTTTTTAAAGTACTAAAATAGATGTCAGCACAAAGAACTGCCACCGTTTGATGCTTTATGGCTTTATGAACAACCTTGCTCTTGCTGAAATATATAAAAAGAAATAGACCCCATTAGAATAAGGTAGGATAAATCATGCATATCCATTGAGATACAAGAGAATTCTCTCCATGGGCTTTGATGTATTGGCCAACAGTATAGTCAGGTGGCAAAGACAAATGAACCCTAGTATGCAAAAAAAAAAAAAAAAAAAAGAAAAAAGAAAAAGAAAGAAAGAATATCAGTGTTCAAAAAGCAAAATTAAACAATTAAAAACAGAACAATAACAAAAAACAACGAAATACTTTTTCCAGAGAAAATACCATTTCCAAAGGAGATACAGATTAATTTACTCTTATCATCACCTTTTTCCTCATCCATGGCCCAGATTTGGTTTCTAATATTAAAGATTATGACAAAATTTGCCGGTTCAAAAAAAATTTTTTGTGTAAAATCCTTACTTTTCATAATAAAAGCACTCCCTGAAAGTCAGTCATCTTACTATTACTTTTTTGCGTTTACATGTTAATTTTTCTACATATTAATTGTTTACATGAATGAGGTTTAGGGCTACGGGCAAGGAAGAAGTACTAATTAGTATTAATTGGTTATACTTAAGTATAGCAACTAGCAACTTCTAGAACCATCTCAAAGGATAAAGTTGCGCTTGGAATCTTGTCAGGGACTCCCGCTAGAGTCGGGTACTCCACACACAGAAATGTAGACCCAGGCTCCTAGTTGGTAAAGGGACTTGCTCAAGGTCATATATCATATTTGTAGTCACGCCATGTGCAGCGGGGCCAATATGGCGCTCACGGCACACCTAAGTGCTCCACGATGCACTTGGTTTACATTATCTCATGGAAGCCAACGAACAGCCCTATGGATTAGACAGTCCTAATAGCCCCAATTTTTATGTAAGTCAAGGAGGCTTAAAGAAGTTACTAACTTGCCCAACGTCACACAGCAAGTCAGGGGCTGGAGCGAGATCTGAAGTAGGACCCTGTGACCTGAACTCAGCCTGAAAGGGGAAAGGGAGTCACAAAAGCACAGACAGAAGAGGGTCAGTTGGAGTACGGATGATCACAATGCTCAGCCACGGAAGGGTGGAGGTAATTAGGAAATGGTCAACATTCACCCAGGGCTTGTTATTGTTACTCAGAGAGTTGCTTCCCCTCTTTCTGCCTCTTCTTGCCTTTAGGGTCACTGCCTTTGGAGTTGTTGCAACAAGAGTGAAAATCTACCCGCCTCTCAGATAATGCTGCATGACAAAAGCTGGAGCAGAATAAGGTTGTCTGTATTCTCCCTGGGTACGGAGAAGGGAAGGGCAGCCAAAGGGTAGGAGGGGCCAGATGATCTTTCAGTGGAGGGATCCTAGCCTGGGGCTTTGGAGACCAGCATTCCTAGTCCAGGCCAGAAGCTGTGGCTTATTAGCTATGTGACCAGGGACAAATGGTTTCATTTCTCTAAACCTATGTCCTCAACTATAAAATGAAGCTATCAGCAGCTGTCCAGAAAGGCCACTGTGATAATTAACACTGGATGGGGGGGGGCGGGGGCGGGCAAGGTGACCTTATCAGTGTTAATATTATCTAGCACTTCTAATCCCCCCTCGGCTCTCCAGCACCTAGTACCTTAAAAGTTCTTAGGCAATATTTGTTGAATAAAATATTATAAACAAGTTAAACGGTTCATCTACTAAAGATCAAAGCCCAAGAGACATTTCAAACCCACTAGCAGTGGCTAAACGACTGAAGTTTTAACTAGAGTTACCTCTTTATCTTACCAGTTTTTTGTAGTTAAGAAATACTCCATTAACTAAAGGGAAGACCTCTCTGTCCCAGACAGAAACTTCATTTTGAATAAGGTTTTTGAATACCTATAATATCCTAGATTTTCTCTAGTCAATCATAATAGCTATTGATCTGGGCTTTACGTACATTGTTTCATTTTGTGCTCACAACCATTTGAAGTAGATATTATTTTAGTCTGATTATAATATCATATACATACTATTTTTCAAGTACAACTGAAATTCAGAGAGTTGAGTGAATTTGACCTATGTCCATAAGTCACATCGTACAGAAGATAAAATAAAACTTCCAAGCAAGTATTTAACTTTTCCCAAGGTTACCAGCTTAAGAGTACGGAGCCCAGAGTAGAGAAGCTCAGGGAGTCCGACTGTCAAGACTTACCCACTCCTCAGTTCTTTGTGCCTGGCTCAGACCCTGTACTTAGTGGTTAGTTGGTTTAGCCTAACCACTGAGAATCCTCAGTTACGAGGTTAAAATGAATGCACTATCAAGGTCATCAAACCTTGGAAGTACATTGTTGTGCAAGTTTCCCCCCCAAAATGCAGCAAAGCTCATCTTTTGAGTCACTGATGGCCACCCCTGACAAGGCACCGAGGTCTGTATTCTAGCAGTGGCCTGTATTGGCCAAGTGAACGAAATAACGTCTTCTGTAATCATGACTCCAAGACCACGGCATGAAGGCCGTCACTTGGGCTGTTTTCCCTCTGCTTCCATCCAGCCTGATCTGTGCCACTTGCCTCAATCGTATCAGGCAAAGGCCTGAATTCACACTCTACTTCATAACCTGGCTGGCAATGGAGTTCTGGGAGAGGGAAGGACAGGGTCACTCACTTGCTCCCCCTGTTCTATCCATCCTAAAACCACTGCTGCCTCACCCTCTTCAAACCATAGAGATGACAGCACCTTGAGATGAAGTGACACTGAAGACAGAAACTAAAACTGAAGACAGAAAAGATCTAGTTTACCTTTGTATGTTAGGCACTGAGAATTTAGGAGCCTCCCAGTTAAGTACTTCGTGAATATTAGTTATATTAGTTAACATCCTTTTTGCCACCATCTGTACCTTCAGAATTTTGGTCTGAATTCTCTAATGGGAGTACTCCAATTAAACCTACACCCATCTGCTTTATTTGAAGACCTACCAACCATCAGCACTTTACAGGGCCACCTTTATTATAATCTGTCCTATACATAGGAGTAAAATTGATTTCCCCCGAGAAACAAACTCTGGGGCAGGGAGATTGCTGGTAATCTCTATGTTCCAGTACCTAGGCTGGAGTCCAGCATCCTCTGGCCCTTTCATTAATACCTACTAGTATCTTGTTGTGATTGCAAATGCACACCAATCGTTCTTGCATCTACTCTGCAGATAAAATGGCTGTATTTGTTCAATAAGCAGTTCCCCCAGTTAATTCAGTAAAAGGAAATAAAAGCCTTTCTGCACGTATTCCGGGTCTGTTCATTTTGGAAGTCTTTTTAAATGCTTCCAAACATGTCATTTTCCTACATTAAGCAAGCTCGGTCCACATAGCAGAAATTGGAAGAGCAGCCTACACCAAGATCAACCAAGAATAAAGGCACATTCTGTAGAAGGCTCCCCTCCCTTCACTTTCGTGTGCAAGGAGAACCATAAATTAAGGACTCCCACTCTAGGGATAAATGGCCTCCCTGCTGCTGAGCTCCCTATCACCTTCGGCATTCCCGGTTCTTCGTGTCCCTAAGAGCCCGTTGACAACGCCCGGGCTTTTGAACCTCACGCACGGGACTGGCGCAGTGGCTTCAGGTGCTAGCCAAAGGAGTGCTGGGGGCCTCCCACACACCAGTGCCAGATGCCACACCTGCTCTTCTACTGACTGCTGGCATCTGCATCCCTTATGATGCCAACAGTACCAAGTGGTCACATTTGTCCGTTTCCTATAATTCAATTACCCAGAGAGTGCACTCCCTTTGTCTGAAACTGCAATCACCCAAGATGCAACTGATTTTAATACCAAAACGCCCCAGTGTAGATTCCAATATGGGAGTGTGGTGATCAGCAATGTTTGCATTGATTCTGAAAATCAATGTGCACTGAAAATTTATGTTTATGAGACATTTTTCAGGAACACTGAGCGCCTAGGAGCAATGGGTGATTAATTCTCGCAGAGCAAATGCAGGGAGGGCTTTGTCACTAAATGAATTCATCAAAATGTTTACTGAGCAATGTAAAGATGAGACATACCAATATTCTCAGAAAAACTGCAGCTTGATTTTTTAAACCACATACAGCAGAAAGAGGTATACAAGTGGAAAAAATATAAATTCAATTAACACTAATAGATGGTTTAGTGGACACCCTTACAGCGTTTTCCAAAAGGACTTGATTTTATTTTAATAAGACAGTGGAGAGGAAGTGGTTCAAAAGATGTCATCAATCTTTTATTTAACTAAACACTGCCCTTCATTTTGAAGGAAATGATACAATTTCAAATCGGAACCTCCTTCTCAAGAAGTAGTATGAGAACATAACATTGATTTAACATACATTCTTCAACAAAAATACAGTTTACACAATTCACTAGGAAATAAAATATACACAGAATTTACTGTGTTAGTTAATGTAATTCTCCAGGGGTCACAAGAATTATAGCTAACAAAACATAGTGAAAATTTGAATAAACCAGTCAAGTCTGTAGTTACCATGATTTAAAAAAAAAATTTTTTTTTCACAAAAATGTAACTTTCCAAACAAAACCATTTGTTGACCATGATCGTAGATTTTATTCTAATGTATTTTTTAAAAAAATGGTTAGACAATCACATGATATCAAGAGTCTTTGACACAGTGGATTCCATTTTGTTAAGAAAAAAAATAGAAAACAAGTAGTCATTAATTTTCCTTCACTCTCCATAGCGTATGTCGTATAAAATTAAAGTTTTGCTTCCAAAAATATGTTTCCATGTGGTTGTCGTGTTGTCTAGTGGTGCTCCTAGGGCCAGAAGCACGGAAGACACGAGAAGTTGAACCACTGAAGTGTAATTTTTCATAAAAACTAAAAATTTCCTTAAAGGTCTGGTGTCAAGTCTTCTGCTATAGGCATTTTAGTGCTATAAAGTCATTTTAAATTACATGTGGAATAAAAGCTACAAAAACCACGAGTTCTTTTGATACAAAAAGTTGTGTAGCTGATGTTGTGGGCTCCTCTGACATACATAAGCAGTCTCAATAAAATATTTGCTCAAATAAGAAAATAGAATTTGTCTTCATTGCTTTTAGTATGTGATCCAGTCCGGGGTCCTGCTTATCCCTGCCACAGCTTCTGAAGAACGTTAGAATCAGTATTTCTTTCAAAGAACATACATAATTCACAGTACAAAACAGTTCTACAGTCTTATGCCCAAGGAGAAACAAAAATCATTAAATATATATATATTTTTAAAGTGCCAGATGTAGCCATAGCCTGGACATTGCGCACTCACTTATCTGCAACACTGCCGCCTTGAGGAAAGGCCTGCGTGGACAATGCCCCTTTCTTGGAGACTCCATTGGTTGGTTGGTGCTTCAGAGCCTCAGAGAGCCCTAAGAAAACTTCCAATGGAATCATTCTTCGTATTATGCACTTCACACCTCTGGTAGCCAGTAAAAATGCTCGCATGACATGGGAAAACAGTCTCTGGAGTGGATGGATTTCCTCTTCTAGTTCATTTTCAAAAAACCTCTTGTCTAGAGGCAGACTACTACTAGAGATGTGGATTTTCTTTTCTTTTCTTTTTTTTTTTTTAAAGATTTTATTTATTTATTTGAGAGAGAGAGACTGAGAGAGAGAGAGCATGAGAGGGGGGAGGGTCGGGAGGGTCAGAGGGAGAAGCAGGCTCCCTGCCGAGCAGGGAGCCCGATGTGGGACTCGATCCAGGGACTCCAGGATCATGACCTGAGCCAAAGGCAGTCGCTTAACCAACTGAGCCACCCAGGCGCCCAGATGTGGATTTTCTAAGAGTTCTTCCTTCAGGTGGAGACTTCCCACAGAAAGCAGTTCCTTTGTAACAACAGTCACTGGTGTACCTCCCTCTGTGGGACCAATGACATTCACTTTCTGAGGGCAAAGGAGGCCCACAGAGATAGGCGAGTGGAAAAGCTAGCTGGTTAGCCAGCCCAGAGCTGCTAGACAGTGCTGTTCTGTTCTGTTCTCCCCTCTTGCTGTCTGCACACTGGTCTTTCAACTACCGTGTTAAGCATAAAAACAAAAAAAACCCCGTATCTGTTAGATGTGTGAGGCTCTCCTAAGTATCTTTTACCTTGCTTGGCTTTTCCATGAACAAGAGAATATAAACACAAAGCTGAGAGATTATTACACATGAAAACTAGATCTACATTTCCCACAGGTGACGGACATCTCTCCAAAGTCCCAGACTATGGCTGAGTGTGGTTCCTCTGTAGCAAAGGGATTGAACCTGCTTGGTGATGCTTGTGAGAACAGGGAACACAGCAAGTGCCCCTAAAATTAAATTCATATTGAGGTGCTACGACAGTCTAGGCTTTGAAAAATTATGGCATCAACTTCCAAGTTTGAAAAAAGTATACAAGGAAATCCTTCAAGTCTTGTTGCATGAGTTAGAAACCCCCAGGGAGAAAACCCAAGGATTGGGTTTTATACAACGCTCAAATAGGATTCCATTCCAACTCTAAGAATTTGTTCAGAAAAGGACTTGTTCGGTGTCATCTAAAATGACACCCAAGAGAAAGGAAAACTTCATGCGACTTTGGGACGGCATTAGCAGTACCAATCTGCAGCAAAACAGCACTGTGAAATCGAGGGCACACATCATCCAAGTGCTCACATGAATACAGGAGATGGGCTGTAAAAATTTCTAGAAGCCCCACAGTACAGCAAACAGGATCAGCAGCAGAACCCAAGAGTACAGGCCAGCCTGCTGCCAACACATCTCACAACCACCAACCTGTGCCCTAGGACTGTCACCAGATTCAGTGCTGACTACACCAGGTGGCATTTAGTTTGTGATGGCTGTCACCCCTCTTAATTGCGAAACCGCACTGAAAGGGGGGAGGGAGAGTTCTCCAAGGAACAAAGAGAAGGCTGCGATATAACAAGACTTTGCCTCTTGATTAAATTGCATCAGGTGTGGCTAGCAAAACACCTTATCACCGAATAGACCTCAAGCCTAAGATTTTATCACCGGCAGAACAGAAGTGAGTGAGGGGGATGGGGCAGTGAGGAGGCAAAAAAAACCAAAAACAAAAACACCAAAGCCTTACAGTTTACAAAAGGTTACCTTCACTGTCCACGAAGGGGGTTAGGTGATGAGTGGGAAATTAACTAATTTCTGCGAGGGCAACCCCATTTGACTGCTTCTGTAGTGGACACTTTATGGGGTGGCACCGGCGAACCCCCTATGGGACCTGCAGATGAACACAGCCAGGCAGTTTTAATTAGATCAGAGACACAGAGGGCTTCCTTCCTTTGGTAAGAACACGGCTCCAAGTGCCTACAAAAGCAGGCTAGAAACAAAGACGGCAAGAGAGAATCATAATTGAATCCCTCTCCTAGCTGGCCTGTGACAATGATTTACTCGGAACCTGGGACGTGGTGGCTGGAGCAGGGGACTCTCCTGGAAGTCAGCTCCAGAAGATGAATTACTTGGCGGTGGGGGTGGGCAGGGGGCGGTAGCAAAGTCTTTGTTGTGCAGCCCAAGTTTACCCAACTATTTATTACACTTCCCGGGGGAGCTGCTTGGTTGTGGTCTGCTGTTCCCAGACCTGGGCCTGGTCTCTCCAGCCTTAAACCGCAGGAATCCCCCGAAGTAAATCACCCGGCTTCCCATATCCCACACTCCCACACGCCCCCCTCAGGGGTGGGGGTAGCAAATCTGCAGCTCTCCGTGCTGGCTGGGCGCCCCCACAAACCCTCTCAGACCTCAGTACAGGGCACCCCCCAGCCCAGGGGAGGAGGGGAAGCAGGAAGGACGCAATAGCAGGCACTGGTACTCCGAACTTTCCTCCACCCCCGAGTGCGTAAGAAGGGTCGATTTTGGACCCGGGTCCAGCAAGGATTGAGTATCAAGCAAGTCCACCATTTGGCCCACCTCGGAAAGGAAGACTGATCCAACGGGAGGGCAGGAAGTGCCCCCCGGCCACAGTGCTCCTACCTGCTCCCCCTTCCTCCTCCGTCCAAGATAACACGCTCAAGCCACAGCTGGCTGCGCTATTTCGCCAACGCTCCTTTTTCCCAAATGGCCCTGGAGCGCAGATGGGGCCCGGAAGGTGCTGGAGGAGGGAGGGAGTGAGAGGAGGGAGGGGGCGGCGGCGGCCGCTGCGGAAGCCTCCCTCTCCAGACTCCGCACTCGGGGGGCCCCTCAGTGCACCACCGCCTGGCGGGCCTCGTCCTCCCGGGCCGGCGCAGGGGCGCGCCCGGGAGGCGGCGTAGTCCGCGCCGAGTCGCTGTCGCCCTCGTCCGGCCCGGCGGGATGCAGGTGCGTGGCGAGCTCCTGCAGCACCGCCGCGCGCCCGATCTGGTCGTTGCGCCGCTTCTCCATGATCAGGTCCTCCAGGCTCTGGAACTCGAGCGTGTGGCTGCGCTGCGCCGAGAGCTGGATCTGCAGCCGGTAGGGCTGTTTGCCGATGCGCAGCTCGCCGCCAATCTTGAACTCGCGCTTGCCGTAGCGGCACCAGGCGGCGAAGCTCTCCGAGTTGCGCCAGCTCAGCTCGCGCTCCTTGGCGCCCACGTGTGCCAGCGCGTTGCGCACCACCGCGCCCGGGCTCAGCGGCTTGTAGCGGTACAGGTCGTTCACCACGCGGCCGCGCCGGCCCTGGCTCGCGTCCGTCAGGAAGCTGTTGCTCACCTCCAGCCGGTGCAAGTGCACCACCTGGAAGTTGCCCACGTATACAGCCCAGTGCGGGTACTGCGCCTGCGACACAAACTCCACCAGGTCGCCAGGCCTGCACTTGTTGAGCAGGTTCTCGGGCGTGTAGGTGCTCAGCGCCGCGGAGCCCGGCGCGAAGCTCTTCTGGTAGATGCACTCGTCGCGGTAGAACACCGAACACTCCACCTCGTGCAGCCTCGGGTCGTAGGGCTGCGGCGGCGGCAGCGGCGGCCCGTCCCCGCCGTCGGGCAAGCCGTCGCCGCCGCCACCATCCGGCCCCTGGGGCGGCGGCTGCGGCTCCACGTCCTCGTCGTCGTTGGAGAAGATGTAGGAGACCCCGATGCGGGGCCCGTCGTCCCGGTCCACGCCGGTCGGGTCGGCCGTGGGAACTTCCTTGTAACTTAGGTGGGTCAGTTTCTCCACCTGGTTACCCATCACGCTGCGGATACACGTTCACACAGCCGAGAGGGGAGAAAGCGAAACCACCACTAGGGTCATTGGCACGGGTCCCCGGACAGGGGCGGAGACCACCTGTTGGGAGCGGAAAGCAAGAAAGCCATGTAGGAACCCCTCCAAGAAAAGGACGATTTCTTAAGAGGAGGAAGAAGGCCTGGGGGCCGAGCACCTGGAGCCATTTTACGGGGAAGCTCCGATCTCCACCTCCAGGGTCACGGTCGCAGGAGGCCGGGCAACTCGAGCTCTACCCCGCCCCCAGCACTTCACCTCGCCCGGGCAAACGCCCATTGCATCAGCAGCTCTAACCGCTTCCGCCGGCGCCCTACCTGCCAAGCCCAGGCAGGAGGTAAAGAAGAGAAACTTTACTCCAACCCCCCTTTTCTTAACCCTCCCTTTACCCCAGGGCCCTAACTTAGCCCCTGAGACGGCTCCCAAGCCTCCAACCTCGGGGAAACCGGCGAGGATCCCGCAGCCCGGCCCGCGCAGGTGAGCCACCCTACGTGGCTCACCTGCGGCGCTTTCTCCCCACGTCTCGCCCGCCCCTCCCCCGCGCGCTCACCCGCCCTTACGTTCGGGTTACCTGCGAAAACTTACCCGCAGAGAGGTGGAGGCCTTGGGGAATTGGCCCCTCTGCCCCAGCCGCACCTTGAGACTTCTAAGGTGAGTTTGCAGGTGTGGGATCCGCAATCGCTCCTCTCCAGGCGCCGGTGGCAGCGAGGCTGGGCAGGGGGGAGCGACGCATGTCTTGCCCCCGCGGCTACGTAGCGCCCCAAGACTTGAAGGTGGGGAGCGATGCCTGTTTACACCGCACCCCTCCCTCCTGCTGGGGCTGCGGCTCCCCCTCAACCTGCTCTCGGGGGAGGTGGGGCGCGAGAAGGCGGAGAAGGAAGCAGCCTCGGTGCCCGGCGGCGGCAGCTCCCGCTCGGACCCGGCGAGCAACAAGCGCCGGAGCGGGAGGGACGGGATTGTAGATCCGGCTCCGGGCTCCCCCGGGCGGGAGCGCAGCCCCTAGCATTTAAAGAGACAGACGCTTGCTCCCGGAGCCCAGGTCTTTCCCACACGGCGCAGAGCCTCCGGGATCCCCGCCCCCGCCCCGCCCACCCGGGCCACGGGGCTCCGCCCAAGCCACGCCACCGCGTCGGAGCGGGTTTAAATCCAGCTGGTAAGTGATCAACCCGAGGGCTGGTGACACTGAACGCTGGTGTCTCTGTGGGCCACTGGGAATCCCGCTTGCCTTCTTAGAGCAAGGGCCTGATGTGGGGGTCTTCGCTGCTTGCTCACTTCGTATTTTTCCGAGCTGACGGCTTTAAAGAGAAATTGGAAGGCAAACGCCACCTGCCAGTGTAGAGATGAGAGAGGGAATAAGAGCTTTGGTGTTGGCGTTTCCCCTTCGCCTCTTCTTGCCCAGAGACCTGGAGAGAAAGGAATAGTCCTTAGGTAGTAAACAGACGTTTGCTTCTTCCTTTTCTTTCCTAGAATGTATTTCTTGCCAAAGGTCACAGAAAAGAATTTTTTTACTTGGACAGCTCGAGAAGCTTCTCAGTTTATTTCTAGAATGAATGCTGTGAAACTTCACGGTTGGGAAAGAAGTTCACAGAAAGGAAACAGTATAAAAGAGAACGAAGACTTAGTTCTGGCTTGCTTCCAAGCCCTGTGCTCTATTTTATTGCATGTCCCTGGAAGTTAGCACAAGGTAGATTTCGTAACCTCCGTTATTTCGAGAGTTACCAGGTCATGCGGTAGTTAGAGAAAGCATTTGCTCTCGTTGTTTTCCTTGGGGATAGGGGATGTAGGAATTGTCTAATTGTCCTTAAATGAAGAACAAATGAGCAGAGGCCCCTGGTGGATGTATTTCCTTCTTGCTGACTTACAGAAAGAAGTGACAGGAGAGGAGTACTATTGCCTATTAACCTCCACCACAAGAAGACACTTGCTCCCCCCATGTTGATTTTGCTTTTTGTTTTTTGTATTTGCGTGTGTGTTTTGTTTTTCCTTTTGTTTTGTTCCCTACCTAAGATGCAGGTTACCAAAGTGTTCTTTGTCTTTTAAAAAAATAATAGATTGGAGTGGGGGTGGAGTGCTGTTGATCGACAAGCTTAGGCATTCACTGGAACACCAGACTGATTCGTAGTGGAATCAAGAATGCAACTTAAGACCTCTTCTACCCTGTTTTCCATCACTGTTTCTTTCACCTAAATTTTTCCAGGTAACACCATTATTTATTCAGTATGCATACCAACCAGTGGAAACAGGAATATACTAACACTACTGGGATCCTTTTTAGTTTGAGAGAGAGAGAGAAAAAAAAAAAAATCAATCTACTTAGGTACTTTTGAGCCCGAACAATCAATATTGGCAGGGCTGTGATGGAAGTTAGTCCTTCAGCAAGTCCAACATCACAGTCTAAGTTAGGCCAGAAAGAGACTTCTGTGTGCCTGCTGTGCAGATTAAATTAAAATATTTTCCACACAGCCTCAGGCATGTGCTCTGAGGTGTTGCTGTTATGTGAACACTTTGTGTCATCACCATGTGAGCTCATGGAGGTACCCATTTTACAGGGATGAGTTAGGCTTACAGAGGCAATGGCAAGTCATCCCATGTCTGTTAGCCTGAGAAACCTCTGCCAGGGTCAGCAGCGGTAGGCCGCTTTGCCCCAGCTGGTACTGGGTAGGTTGGCTGGGGATGGGAGAATGCATAGAAGGACACAGAGGTAGGACAGTTTGCTTCCAGCACTCTGGGACAAAGATCTAATGAGTAGGAAACAACACCTAGTTGTCTAGGTGCCTGTCCCCTTGTCTTGAGGAGCTGTGTTCAGGTACATGGTGATCGTGGCTCAACAACATTTCTTGAGTTGAGCAAATAGAAAGTCTTAGAGGAAACAGGTTCTGAGTCATTTTTATATCCCAATGCTTGGTAGTTAGTAAGTGCTCAATAAGTGCTTGATGGAGGCTTTAGCAGAATTCTTGGCCATATTGATAGCCTGCCTCCTGTGTAGCTTCTTCCACTGATTGCTGATTAGGGCCCAACCTCCATCCCATCACCCGGGGCTCTTGGTCAGAGGTTATATAAGTGCTCTCAAACATTCTTTGCTCATCTCAAATAATTGTTTAATGAATTTAAAGTTAAATTAGCTGTCAACAATCTGGAGACTTGAGAAATCTCATGTTTAGATTTCCAACTTTATTTGAAAAAGCTAGCAATGTGAGCCCATCAGGCCCACATTCCATGACGGCAACAAAAAGCTAGAACTAAGCGATCGTTGCCTTGGAGATGAGATGTACTCTCCAGCTGGCCCCCATCCCATCCTGCCTACCTCAACTACCCTAGTTCCTTGGCTGGCCTGGGGAACCTCTGTGTTGGCCATCTCTGCCATTCAAGTTCTTTTTTTTTTTTTTTTTAAAGATTTTATTTATTTGACAGAGACACAGAGAGAGAGGGAACACAAGCAGGGGGAGTGGGAGAGGGAGAAGCAGGCTTCCTGTGGAGCAGGGAGCCCGATGCGGGGCTCGATCCCAGGACCCTGGGATCATGACCTGAGCCGAAGGCAGACGCCCAGTGACTGAGCCACCCAGGCGCCCCTCTGCCATTCAAGTTCTATACTACACATTGTATCACTTGATTATATATAATTCAGCACTTGATCCTATACCATCTGGTATTATTATTTAATTCCTGTATTTAAAATGTCTTTTCTAGAGAGCTTGATTCAAAACCTATTTCTTGAAGACGTACTAGGTACCTACTTGTCTCATACACCACACATTCATTCTACAAATTCAACAGGCAGCATGCTAGGTTTTATAGGTATTCATGTCCCCATGGGGCTCAGGGTAGTGGAAGAGACAGAGAATAAGTAGACTTCTTAGGACAGTATGACATGTCCCGAAGGAAGGGGAAGTAGAGGGTGCCTAGGGAAAGTTTCAAGGCATGTGGACACAAGTGAATTCCAAAATGTCTACCATCAGGAGTGTTGGACTCCTGAGGGTGACACAACTCTAGATCAATAATGACAACTACCAGTGAGCTCTTGATTCTATTATTCTGTTAAGTTTAGAGAGGCCAGGTGACTTTTCTCAGCTGACAAGTGGGACGATCTCACAGGTCCTTTGACTTGATCGACTTATTTGCCACTTGCCTCCTCCTATCAACATATAAATGCTGTAAGAGAAAGGACTTTGTCTACTGTGTTCTTGGCTTTAACTCTGGAGCCCAGTAAGAGCAGCAAAACTCAAGTATTTGCCAAATCTTAAAGACTGTGTTTGTCTCTACTTAAAAGGTGGGAAGCTTTGAGGTTTGAAGGTCCTCAAGCTGGCTGCCCTTGGAAAATGGACTGGAAGGGATGGGAGAGGAAGCAGGTCCGGTAGAAGGCCAGGCTGTGGGAAGGAAGGCATTCCGCACAAATGGAGCCTGGCGGACAGAGGAAGAAGCCCATGAAGGCCCCATCCCCAAGGGCAGCCACTCACTGGAGACGTGTTCACTGGATTGGAATTCTCAGCCACACTGTCGCTTCATCCCCCCAGCCCGGCTGTGACCCAAGTGTCACATCCCACACACCTCCTTGGAGGAGACACTCAATAAAAACAAGCTGTGTTGAATGCCAGTGAGTCACTCTCACAGTCTTCCTGTCCAGAGCAGTGGGGAATAATCGAGAACTGACATTTCTACCTGACAAGGCACTGGCCCTGACTCTGCAGGTGTAGTCGTTCGAGTGGCTCACTCCAAGAATGTACAAAACCAGAGCACGAGGGCAGAATTATCTGATTAGGCAATCTGGAACTCTGCCTGTTCCCCGGGGTTGGGCCCCAGGCTCCCGGTGGCAGCAGATAGCTGAGTGAATTTGCTGGAAAACAGGTTCCTCCACACCTCCCTATACTGGGAAACTCCCAGACTTACCTGCGCCTGTTCCCCGCTGCTGGGGGTTTTGTTGAAACCGTAGGAGGTGAGCCATAGCAGAATGGGAGCAGGTGATGTGGGCTGGTGTCCTGATTGCCAGGTGCATGACCTTGGAGCCTCTCTTCTCCATCTGGCCCGCTTCCCCAGTCTCTAAAGCGGGGCTGATGATACTCCTTATCTCACTTGCGAATCCTCCAGTGAGACAGCTTACATGGAAGCATCCTACAAACCCTAAAGCCTGTGGAGATGCCAGGCATTATTCACACAGCGGGTGTAAGAGCCAGATGATGATTTTAATATGGGGAGGAAAAGGCAGAGCCGTTTGTTGTGGGCATGGTCTTAGACATTTCCATACCGATCCTGTTTTTACATTCCCCAGATAAGCACCCAAAGGCCTAGGGATAGGAATCTTGCTGACTGTAAGTGGGAGAAGCTGGATTCAAATCCAAATCTGGCTGGTTCCAAGCCTACTTTTCCCACTGCATCAAGCAGCCTCAGGGACACCAGCATATATGTTCCTGCAGCCTTGGCCAGTCCGAGGACCAGGGGGCTGGTGTGTCTGCTGGACATAGAGTGACCAACTTGTCCTGGTTTGCCCGGGACTATCCTGATTTTAGCATGTCCTAGGCCAACTGGGACAGTTGGCTGCCCTATGTGGGTGCTTCCCCATCCTGGTCATTGCTCTCCCTGGAGTGTTGCCAGGGATGGAGCAGGGATAGGAGATGGGGAGCAAGGTGAGTCAGGTGTTTTAGCCCAGACTACCTGTCACAAAGGGCCCCCGTCTCCAGGTGAGGTTACATACATAGCAGCAACTGCATAAGCAGGGCCATCCGGTAAAAAAGACAACAAATAACCTGCTTTGGGCATGTATTCTTTTTTCTGTCTCTTTTTTTAATTGGATGCTTCACAGGAGGTGAGGCCTGGGCCTCTCTCCCCTCTGAGAGCTGGTGGCCTGTAGCTGCCCTCCCCACCCTCTCAGCCTGGCTGTCTTGGGCTTTAAAACCTGCATAAAGAGTTTTGCGCTTTAACTGAATTATTCCTTGACCTTCAGATTAAGGAAGGAGTCATAGAGGCTGCTGAGGGGCATCCCTTTCCTCGGCTTCTGTATTTGACTTGCTTCTTCCCTCAGATAACCAGAGCAGGCTGTCTCAAGCAGGCTGGGCCAGAGCTAGGCTGCCCTGTGGGTAGGCACGGAGAGGAGACGCCCTGAGAAAGGGTCTGGGGCTCTAACGCCCACACAAAACCATTTAGCTCTCCATCCATTCGTCCTGTGGCTAACCTGCGAGGAGGCTTTTAATCCTTTTCTAGAAGAGGGCTCACCAGTGCGAAAACACTGAAGCCTGTCCCTTCCAGATCCTTGCAGTTTCGGGAGGCCCCTGACAACATACTGTTGATGTTGAACCGGAGAGTTTGATTTGTGCTCGGGAGTCTGAGCTTGTAGCTGGGCTCCTGCAGGAGCCTCATGAAAGATGCATTTCATCAAGCGGTTCCAGGGGAGAGACTGGCTTAAATTACAGCTCTATAAATCCAAATATTGGCATATCTGCAAATCCAAATGTAGAGATTTCAAAAAAAGTCTAAATTCTAAGAATCTTATTTTGCACTTCTTGTGCAAAAAAGGGGAGGATGAGATATTTAGGGAGGAGACAGGGCTGTCAATAATGAGAAAAGCTTCAGCACAGCAAACCCAACCTCCTTTTCTTTCCTTGGGCATTCTTCATGCTTCCAGGGAAAGAGAGCTGACATGAGGGAGAAAGACCGCATTTGTTCAGCATGGCTTTCTGCAGGACAGATTAGGGAGACCGCCCACCCAGGATTTGGGGTGTAAGTCTCAACAAATGTGGTTGGTCAGTTTCTGTTTTCCCCAAGCCAAGGGAACCCCATGGGGCACTTACCCCACTGTAGTCCATTCATAACCCAGCAGCCCCTAGCAATCCCATGAGACTATAGGCCAAGCCAGGTCACTGCTTTGCTCAAAGCCCTCCTGAGGCTCTCCCTCTCTGTTGGGGAAGGGCCCAAATCCCTAAAATGGCCCCCAAAGCCCTGGCCTGTCTTCCACATTACCTCTCTCACACTCCCTCATTCACATCTCCAGACACACTGGCCCCTTGCTGTTCCTTCCCCAGTGGTGGCCATGCTTCTCTCTCACAGCCTTAACATTTGCTTTTCCCTCTGCCTGGAACAGTTTACTCCCAAATAACTTCATGGTGTGCTAAGTCTTGACTCAGATGATAGCTTCCTGGTGAGCCTTCTCTGGCAACGCTATTTAAAATTCCAAATGTCCTCCCACATATACTCCTTATTCTTCTTTCCTGCTCAATTTCTCTATCACTTACTCAACTCACTTATCACCTTTTAGGGTTCTATTTTAATTTCTATATTATTTTGTTTATTACCTTTCGTAATTGAGTACAAGCTCTGTGAAGCCAGGGATTCTTGTTTTGTTCATGGAGGTATCCTTAGCTCCTAGAACAGTGTTGGACACTTGTTAGGATTATTCTTAATTTAGAGATGAGAAAATTACTTTAAAAATTTACTAAAGGCCTGTGGTGTGCCAGGCTCTACCCTAGACAGTTGAATTTCAGAGGGGTTAAGAAGTGGGCTAAGAAGAATTTAACACAGCTAAATTCATCAAGAAATTATAGCTCTGCCCTGTTCAACATGGTAGCCTCTAGTTGTGTGTAGTTATGTGTGGCTATTGAGTACCTGAAATGTAGCTGGTCTGAAATGAAATGTATTGTTAATGTAAAATGTACATCGATTTTACAATATGGTACGAAAAAGTAAAATATCTTACTAATTTTTTCCAAGTGATTGCATGTTGAAATTGTAATATCTTAGATCTCTTGGGTTAAAAGATAATTTTACAGAGCCAGGACACCTACCATTAACATCACCGAGCATGTTCTACTACCTACCAACAAAGCATACCTCCTGAGAGGCATTTGGGGAACCGTAGAAGACATGCTTATAAACAGTACAAATTGACCTAATAATTATATTTATTTTCGTCAGTCAGCAAGAGAGGTGGGGGCCTGGCTTTATGCTTCAGACTCTGTGGGCTAAGTCCCTCCACTTTCCATGGGTTGGCAGAGTTGGGTTTCTGAGCCTTTGAGCTTAAGGATTGTACCTCAGATGATGAAGAATTCATGAAAGTGGTAATAAACAAATAAGTTAGTAGCAGCTAACATCTGTGAAGTGCTTATTATAAATAATGCCATTCTAAGAGGTTTATGTATATTCACTCATCTAAGCCTCACCTATGAGCTAGGCATTATTATCAATATCCTCAAGCATCTTACCCGTGACAACACAGCTAGTGATTTGCGGAGTCAAGAATCAGACCCAAGACAGTGCCACAGAGTAGGGGTAACCTCCAGCCACCCAGCTGGCCCAGATAGTAGCCAATATGGCTGAGTTCCTTTGTCTTCATACTCCACATTCCTTCCATCTTTGCCTTCATTCATGAATCTGACTCCTCACCACACTTCTGGCCTCATGTCCTCCCAGTTGCCCACTCTATATGGCTCAGCCACATCAGTCCTTGGTTTCCTGTCCACACCAAGCTTGTGATTACCTCAGACCTTGACATGCCCATTCCCTGGGCCTGGAATGTTCTGGAATTCCACTCTTCACAAAGCTAAATCCTTTGTATTATTTATGCCTCCAATTAAGTCAAGTCCTTAGAGGGGGTTTTGCTAACGAGCTTGTTACCCACCTCACCCTTCTTCAGCCCATTTATTTCCTACGAAACACTTATTACAATAGTGATTGTATTTGCTTCTGTCATCATTGCCCATGTCTCAAGGAGGCCAGACTGATGTGTCACTGTTGTACCCCCATTGTCCAGTGTAGTGTCCTACTACACACAGTAGATGCTTGACAATTATGTGCTAAGTAAACAAACCCTTCTTTGGATTAGCCTGATATTCTCATTTTGTGTGGCTCAGGAGTAGCATTTCTTTAAAAAGTGATTTTGAGTTTCAAGTATGTGTTCAGTTCGCAAAACTAAGGTGTGAAGTGGAACCAGGAAGAAGCTGATGGAGTAAAGTGGGTCAAGGGGGGGAATAAAAAAAAAAAAAAAGGAAGTCAGTAGGTCCTATTAAGGAGAACAGATATCAAGAAAGGATTTTGCTAAAGGTCATGGCATTGGGGGTTGATTGCCAGTTGAGTGGATGAGTTATCTGACAACACTGCAGGAGCAAAGGATGGGATGGGGTTCTTCCTCTACATAGGGAGGACTTACCTGTGGGCTAGCCCTGCCCTGGACTCTGTGGCTGGGGCTGAATGTGCACCACTGTGCATGGCAGTCAGCTGCTGTGTCTGCCAGTCCCGTTCCAGGAATCCTTACTGAAGGCCTACTTTATGCCATCCATCGTTCTCACTTGCTATGCAAAGGGACCAAAATCTGATCCTTGCCCTCTGGATGCTCAGGGCTCCATCACACCAACTAGCATCTACTGAACAGCTTAAGAGATGTTCAGTAAGCATTTTTTAAGTAATAGATTAATGAATGCATAGAATTAAGCCTTTGCCTTAAGAGTCCTAAAAGCAGTTGGGGATGCCAGACAAGGGATATTTAGAGACTGAGCCAAAAGGATAAGTATATAAGCTATGTTTACTGAGCTTTTACAAATTGGAGAAGCTATAATCACTGTGTACATAGCTCTTGTAGGGGAGGAAGCAAATAATTTTGCTCTGTCTCAGGTTCATTGGCTGGGGTCCTCAAATTAGACTAGCAGATGACAGATTAACAAGAGAAAAACAAATAAAATGCTTTTTACTTGCTTATTAATGTGTGCATAACACACATATATAGGAGCCCTCTGTGATGAGTAGATCAAAAGGGTGGTTGCAACTTGGGCTTTTTTATATTTTAGCAAAGTACAGTAATTTTGTAGAGAAGTGACATGACAAAGGGCTTTGAACTTCTATGGAAAGCAAATTATGGCAAGACAAATATATGGAGAAACTAATGGTAAACTAATGGAAATTTTCTCGGTGTCATCTTATCTCCAACGGTACAGGAAGTGGAGAAGGGGGACACCTTAACAAGGGGAATTTATGTCTGCCTTCAGGCAGAGACGGGGAGGGCAGAAAGCTTTTCTTATATCTGCTCTTCAGTTGCCTTCAACTCAAATTAATCCTTGTGCCAAAGCGACACCTTTTGGGGTAGCATATTATGCTACTCTTCACTGTGAACCAGAGAAAGATGAGGTCTTGTCTCTGAGACAGCAGAATTCATTCTGTGCCAGGTACCGTGCTAACTCTTTGTAATCATTACCTGGTTCACCCTTCTCATGACCTCACAGGGCAGGTTCCATTTATGATTCTAATCCCCATTTTAGAGCTGGGGAAAGTGAACTACCTAAAGTGTCAAATCAGCCAACCAACAGGATATGGACCCAGATGGCTCTGAATGCAAGCCCCACTGGACAGGGGACCCTGGTGCTCCAGCCACTATTTGTCCCACTGATGTGACCAACAACAACAGGAAGGAGCTTCTTGCTAAGGCAAAATGCAGCCGTTAACTGTTCCTTTCTCTTCTTCCTCCTCCTCTAAGTGGGGTGTGCTTCCACCAGAGCATCTGGCTCAAGGGTTTCAGACCGGTGTCTTAGACTTTAGCACACCCATATAGATTTCAGTAACAGACTGATAGAAGATGGCCTCATTGGGGAAAGGGACCTGAACTTTCTGTATCCGGACAGCCCAGGGAGAGGGGGAAAAAGAAACAACCTGGGGACCCTAATTTGACAAATGAATGTATTACTATGGGAGGGTCTGAGACATTAAAGCTTTGGGGACATGACAACTATGATAAATAAATTGGATTTCAGTGTGCTGTACCGAACGAATCACTACATCCCTGCAGGCACTTAAACACAACACCAAACTGGAGCATGAAGAAGTCTGCCATTTTGGCAAGGTCAGAAAGATTCCCATTCCCACCTGGCAAATTTCCCTCACCTAGTGATTTACAAATTCCTGCCCCAAATTGTCAGGGACTTGATCAACATTTACCAATACTGCACTCAGCCCCTTTCCTTCCCTTGTCCACAAACCCCAGGGGCTCTTGCCTCCTGGGGGTCATTATGTAAATGAGTTATAGGCAGACCCTAACAACCATTAACTAGGAACACTCCACCTTGACCATCTCTAGTTAGCTGGATTTCTGCTTAACTGAAGGTTAAATAAAACCTGCCTTGTTTTATTCCTTGTTATTGAAAATCTTTCTAAACTGTGTTAGTGCACTTACCTGCCTAAGTTTCTGGAGCAGAATGAAAATAATTACATTTTTGCTCGATGACCAGACATCTTGCAGTGTCTTGGGGCACTGTTCTTGCTAGTGGTTAGGATTAAAATTTCGCTTTTGTTGCAGACTTTTGTGAGAAATTGGGTGCTAACTGTTCTAAGTTGAAAAGAAATTAATTCAATTTTGTTGCGAGAAGCATACCATCTTGCCTTCCCAGTGCCTAGTAGAGTGTCAGGAGCGTTTTCTCAAAAATGCTGATGGAGTCAATGATTGCCTGATATGAATTTATTTCTTGCAGGTTTTTTTCACCTAATAATGATTTTATCTGCTCTATATTGATTGCTAGTGATTTTTCCAGGGGTTGTGCTAAGCCCTGTGTATGCTTTACAGCATTTCATCCCTTGTTGCCACGCAGTGGGTGGGCTTTATTGTACCGATGAAGAAAAGGAGCCTCGGGGAGACTGAGTGATTTGGCAGAGGTTCCCAAACCAGGAAGGGGCAGAACAGAATTCACATTACTTGAGGGGTTTTATGGATGGCAGTTTTCTTCTGCATGTGGGGCTTGATATACCGGAACTGCCTCAAAACCACAAGAAAATGGAACCTCTAGGAAGTGAAGTTGAGGTGGGACAGACATACATACACCCCATGGTCCTCGACTCTTCATCTATGAGGGAATCAGTACAGCATAGTAGTGTTGAGCAGTGATTTTCAAATTATCTGTAGGGAAGGACCAGGCTGTTTGTTTTGTTTCCTGGTTTTGTTTGCAATTTCTAGCTTTTTGTGTACAATACCTTTGTAAAATAACATTGATATAATTTACTAGATGAACACAGTAAAAATAATAAAACGATGTACAAGCCTTAACTTTTGCTACTAGATTTAGCAGATATAAAATAACTGTCATATAGTTATAAAATTTCTAGCAGCTCACTCCCAATTTTTGTTCTTCTTTCTCTGTGGACAGGTAACAAAGAGTAGGTGGACGAACAGAGGTGCTCCCATTCCACTGTATAGTGCTGGGTCCTGGGTCCAACTGGCCCTCCTCCAAGTGTGGTCTATGACCTGGCAGCATGGGCCTCTCCTGGGAGCTGAGCTTGTGGGAAAGGCAGGATCTGAGGCCCCTACTTCGACCTGCTGAATCAGAATCTACATCTGAACAAGGTCACCCGATGATTCTTGTGTGTGTTGGTGTATAGGAAGCATTGTCTTAGAACATAGGCTCTGAAGTCTGACTGCCTGTTTTAATTAAGCTCTTACCTCTTACTTCTGTGTGACCCTGAGCATCTCACTTAACCTTTCTGTGCTTCAGGTCCCTAGCTGTAACAGCGCCCCCCTCTACTGTGAGCTACCATGGACTACCGTGAGCACTGCGGGTTCCTCACCGCACTCAGGACCATCTGTTCATACTGACCGTCTGGAACAAAGTGAGTCTGCAAGGGTCCCCTCCAGGCTGGTAAGTTCTGGCCTCCCAGGATGTTGAGGGCAGATCTCACTGTGGCTTGGTGGATCTTTCTGGCCCATGGAGCCATGGCAGTTCAGCCGGGAGAGAGTCTGCTGTGGGTGGTGGGGTTTCTGGGGCAGTCGTGACCCTAGCTGCTCTCTTTCTTTCCTTCTGTTATCTCTACAGAAGAAAACCAGCGTGTCCACTGGTGAGACTAACGGTTCCGTGAGCCGCGGCCAGGAAAAGGCAGCAAACAAAGTGAACAGTCAGCCAAGGAGCATTTGCTGGAGATTTACGTGGAAACCTGCTCACAGATGCAGAGCTGCTGGATTTATAACAAGGGTGGGATAATTTGTTCTTGTGTGCTAAGATAAGGGTAAACAAATTTCATGCTGTGATGTAAACTCCTATCTGCAGAAGTCAGGAAAGAGTCCTTGCCCTGCTGCCTAATCGCGTGCTTGACAAATTATCCTCAGAGGCTTATTTCTCCGGCGACTTCATCTAGAGGTCACGCTGGGGCCTGAGTGTGAATGGTGGAAGGACATGCCTGGTTGCAGAGGAGGGAGACTCTTGTGTTCCTGTGCGTCCAGAAGCCCAGAAATGAAAGTGGCCACAGTGCTGGCTATAGTATTTGGAAAATCCCCCAGGGATGCTGGGGTGCTGCTGAGTAGCTCTGTGGGATCCGTGGGCACGGTTGAGGAAATATGGCTGGAAATGTGCATTCCCATTTCACCCCATGCTTGGCCTTGGTCCAGCAGAGACACACACCCTGGCCCTGCCCTTTGTACTGTCAACAGCAGGTAGATAAGTGTCCTGTGTTCCCAGCGAGCCTCATCACACATGGAAGGAAGCCTCCCCTGGGCTGTAGGAACTAGCTGGCTGTCTCTGCCACCCCTTCTGCTTCTCAAGGACCAAGGCACTCTCTTGATCATCTTTGTATCCCCGATGCAGGAGCTACTCTATATAGTTGAATAATGTTTACAGAAATAAGAAAGCAAGCTGGAGCTCAGAGGGTGAACCTCTAAGAAGTGTTGGGGCGCTACTTAAAATTTGGCAAATGATTATTCTGTTGTATATGTTATTTGGTGTTTTGCATATATTTGTTTTATAATCCTAATTATTCTCTATGTAATTATTATTACCCTACCTTACAGATCTTCCAACGGAGGCTCCAGAACCAAGAAAACACAGGTCTCCTCTTGTGAAGCCAGGATTAGAACTTACTACTGTTAGGCACCCAACCCCTCTTTGCCCAAGCTGATCCCAGAGTCCTGATTCCAGGGTATATCACTATCCATGTTCCTTTAGGAATTTCCCTGGGCCTAGGCCTCGGTCTCATTTTTCCCATCTGTAAAAAAGGGGGAGAGCCAGATTAAGATCCCATCAGCTGCTTGTCAGCAGGTGTCAGGAATGCAGGAGGGGGACGTGTGCCGTCAGGCAGACTGGGCTTTAAGGCTTGGGCAATGTCAAGTGTGACTCCCCAGTAAGCTGGATGTTGCTACACAGTCTTGGGTGTGAGAAAAGTGAACAGGGAGCCAGTCGGTAGCGCAGGACCTCCTAGCGGCCATTCATCCCAGGGGCTAGAAGTCCAACCTAGGACTGATGAGTGAGCAGGCTGGTGTAATAGAGAACAGTGATCCCAAAAGATGGGCGTGGTCCTGTTTGTGTGTGTGCAGAGTAAGGCACACATATGTGCACACTTACGCACACATGGATACAGACATCAAGAGAGTGTCTCTGCGTAGCCAGAGACACAGAGACGTAGGATAAAATTCTTCTATATTGCAGATGATATCATCCAAACTCTCCGGCTTCCCAATATAGGACTCTGAAGATCATGAAGGTCTCTTATTAATCTCCCTCTGCCCATGATTTCCATATTCTTGGTGCAGACAGTGTGTATAGTGTATTACATTCTGTGGAAAACAAAGAAGGTAATATATGTGTGTGTACATGTGCATATGTACAACATATATATGTCACTATGTATATATTGTTTTTTTCCATGATTTTTCCATATATAGGCTATTTCTGAAAGTTTATCCAAAAAGCTAGTAAGCGTAGTTGTCTCTGGGTAGGGATCTAAGTGCCAGAGGTACAAAAGAGATATTAGCTTTGCATAATATCCTTTTTTATAATATTTGAATCTGTTGATCATGGATATAGATTCCTTATTCAAAACAGTAAACCAAAACAAACAAACAAACAAAAAACTATGGTTAAGCACTTATCTTACACTCAGCTGTTTCTGAATTGGTTCCTCAGAGCAGCTGATTTGTTTCTGAATGCCATTAACTCTCTGAGTATTTATGATACTGTTAAAGGTCCTTTAGGGTTCATTGGAAAGAAGTAGATTGAAGGAAGGCCCCTGGAGGTGAGGAGGATGGAAATGCCCTAGGGGGTGGCGGTTCCTCCAGCCTCAGCCAGGAAAGGCCAGACCACTGGGGCCTGACGAGTGCCAGTCATTCTAGCAAATCAGTTAAGAAATAAGGTGGACTCTCCATCTTAACACCTGGCTGAAGGGGGTGTATTTAGAAGTATTGGGAGATTTGAACTGGACTTAGGGAACTTATTTTTTATTTTTGAAAGTAATTCGGCTGCAAATGACAGACATTTGCTGCTGGACTGAGCTGTGGACACAGACCTGAGATGCAGACTTTAAAAAGAGAGTCAGCTGACTTTATTTAATACCTGCCTTGGGCCGGATTGTGGGTAGGCATTTTGCGGTCTCATTTCATCTTAAACAATCCTAAAAAGTATGAGTCCATTTTACCTGTGAACGAAATGAAGACCACGGGACCCTAGGGGTTAATCAGATGTGGCCCCAGATGTCACAGCTAATATGGCAGAATCACAATATGACACGAAATTCTCTTTGATTCAAACCCTAGGGTTTGCCCAATACTGTCTAAAGAAAAGGAGTGGGAGCTTCTTGTCGTACTGTATTGGCAGATACTTATCATAAGGTAGTGGCTCTGAAACTGACTACATCAGAATCACCGGAAGGGGTTGTTCAAGCACTTACTGCTAGCCCCGCCCCCAGAGCTTTGGCTTCAGTAGGTTTGGGGTGGGGCCTGGGAATTTGCATCTCTAACAAGTTCTCAGGTAATGCCGATGCTTTTGGTTTGGTGACTTCCCCTTTGAGAACCACTGTCCTCAAGAGACTAGAGTAGGGTTCATAGAGCTTAACTGGTGATTTTAGGATCAAATGTGATGCGAACAGGGCAATTTCATGCTGTTTATATTTCTTGTAATTATTTTCTTTGGGTTTTAATGAAATACTTTTCAAAAATATCTACCTATCTTACCTATTTTAAGGTGAAAGAGGAAAATGCCTTTGGGTTTACACATGAGCCAGAGAGAAAGGGGGACCAGCGCATCTTGCATCTTACGGTACGGCATGCAGAGGGGGCCACAGGACTCCCCAGGGGAAGACCAAATCACTGATCAGGACTCTTTGGATCACTAGTGACAGAAATCTAACTCATTTCTCTCAAGATCAAATGTAGCTATGTGAAACAGCAGCTCACTTTAAACAGGTGTCTTAAAACCAATTTTTTGTTTTTCTTGTTTTTCTCTAACAAAATCAGGTCTGGCATCTCTGTGATTCTTTTTTCTTTTCTTTTTTTTAAAACCCATGGTCACAAAAGAGCTGCTGTGGCTCCAGTGATCACATCTGTATTCTAGTAAGGAAGGTGGAAAGTGGAAGAGATGTGGTCTGCCTCCTCAATTGTTATATCCCTTTTAAAGCCTTCAGCTGCGTCACATAACCACATCTAGCCGCAAGGGACACGGACAGAGCATTTAGAGGATGGTACATTCCCCCCTACACAAAATCAGTATTTTTCAGTCAAGGGAAGAAGAGCTATTGGGTATTAGGAATGCACTGAACAGTCTTGCACAGCAGATTGGGCAAAATCTGGAAGACAGTGGCTTCAGGAGAAAGGCAAAAATGAGTGGTTTTAAGAAAGTTAGAGGGGTTAGCTTTTGCTGAATAGCAAGCCACTCCAAAACTCAGTGTCTTTTAAAGTTTAAGTTTAAATAAACACATATTTGCTTATGAATCCGTGGATTGGCAACTCACGTGGGAGACTCACCTGTGCTCCATGTGGTGTCCACTGGGTTTAGCGTTGCATCTGTGACCTTAGATGGCTGGCTGGGACAGCTGGGATCTTTGAGACATGTGGGTTCTTCTTTCTACATGGTTTCTTGTCCTACTGTCCCCGTCTTTACATGATAGCAAGAAGGTCCCAGGGACCCACAAGTTATTTATTGTGGAGCAACAAACCACTCTAAAACTTGGTGAAATAAACAACCACCCTTCCATTTGCTCATAACTCTGTGCACCATCATTTTGGGCTGGGCTCAACTTGATGGTTCTTCTGCTCATCTCTGGTATCCCTCATGGGGCATAACTGGGGCCAGATGATCCATGATGGTCTTCCTTTTATGTCCAGCAAATGGTGCTGGCTATCGGCTGGGCCACCTCTCTCCAGCAAGCTAGCCTGGGCTTCTTCACATGCTGACTAAGTTCTAAAAGCAGCAAGGGAGAGGGTAGGTCCCAATGCATAAGTATGTTTCAAGCCTCTATCACATCACATCTGCTGATGTCCCACCAGCCTAAGCAAGTCATATGGCCAAGACCTGAATCAATGTGGGAGGGGACTGTGCAGGTTGTGGATACAAGGAGACATGATTTAAGTCTATCACATGTACCTTAAACCAAGGACTTGAATGTCCACAGGGTTGTCCCTGTCATATCTTTGCTTTTCTCTGCAAGTCCTCTTCATTCCTTTAGACAAAAGCCTTCCCTGGAGCCACACCTGCCCTCAGTTCCAGAAATCACTTTTTTTCACAGTTTCCCAGCAAAGAGAAAAGGGTCTTTCTCCCTTCAGTTCTATTCTGAATGCTGCTGGGAAGAACTCTGATTGGTCTGCTTTTGGTGAGATGCCCATCTTGCAGCTAAGTAATTAGGATACGATTACTGGCAGTTCTCACTAGAAGTGCATATTTGGATAGGGGTTGCAGAAGGAGCAATGTTGGAGACACTATTCTAAAAATAAAGTGGTGTCTCTTCTGGAATAATGGAGATATACTGGCCAGAAAAGACAAATGTATGGGCACAGACATCATTAGGGAACTTTTTTTTTCTTTTTTTAAATTTTATTTATTTGAGAGAGAGCGTGAGTGAGCATAAACGGGGGAGGAGCAGAGGGAGAAGGAGGAGCAGACTCCTGTCTAAGCAGGAGCCCGATGTGGGAGATGGAGGGCTCGATCCCGGGACTTCAGGATCATGACCTGAGCCGAAGGCAGACATTGAACCATCTGAGCCACCCAGGTGCCCCATTAAGGACCATTTGAACAGAAAACCTCACAGACTCTTGTGGATATTTTTTGTTTGTTTTGTTAGTTGGTTGGGAGGGTTGGTTCTCTTAAGAATTTAAGCTAAGCTTAAATTCAGGGTCTGTAAAGATGTAATCTAAGCTTAAATTCAGTTTCTATTGTTTTCCAAAAACTCTACACCAATCTACACATTTTCCCTATTTTATTCAAAAAAATGCAGACTAATGTCCACTGCTGGCCCCAGTGGGAAGGTTTCTAACTGGGTGTTTTTTGTGGCAAATATACAATAGCAATTACATTGTTTTGTCACTCACCTACCCCTGAGATTGTGTTGGGATGACAGCACAGAAAAGCCAAAGAAGAAAGACCTCAGTCCTTAATTGGCACATTGGTCCCATCAATGAGGATCTTTTTTTTTTTTTTCCTCCAATCCCATTAGGTATTCAAGAGTATGCTAATGACGTTTCACCTTATGACCTGTGAATATATGGGAATGAAAATTGCTGGGATCGCCTCTGCGATGCATGGCCTCTGATGGGGGCATTCCAGGTGAGTGTCATGGAGGGTCCCCAGCATGAGTGGAGGATAAGGGCCCACTCTTGCCTTTTTAATTGGAGTGAGGGAAAGTAAAGAAAAGCAGCCACGGAAAGTGCACGGGGTGTAGGAATGCTGGTCTTTGGGGAATGCGATCCAGTTTCCACAAATAGCAGAGATTCCTGAAAGGCTTTGAGGCTGGCTTTGCTGGGTAGCCAGGGAGATGCTGTGCTTCTTGCCTCCCTGCTCCTGGAGAAGGTGAGTTTGCTCCCCCCTGCCCAGAGGCCTCGGCTGGTGCAGCCAGGGCTTATTTCAGAAACTCTCCCAGATACAGCTGCTACTCTGAAGCACTCCGTTCATTGGTGGAACTGGCTCCTAATGGTTTCGGTGCCCTGAGGCATTTCACAGACTCCCCTTCCTCCCAGCAAACATTTGCCGGTAATTGTGGTGTCACCACTCTTAGTTAACAGGTTCTGGTTTGCCTCAAGGGGTTGTTGAGTTCTCTGTTGGATTCTTTGTTAGCAATTGTGGTGTGTTTGTAAGTAGGACTGCTGAGGAGTCTCGGCTGTGACTTTGGAGTATGAAAACAGTCTGGCTTCGCATACACCCCATTCAGAATCCATGTTCCCTCCTGTCTGTACTCCTCCACGGTCTCCCATTCCCACGGGTCCTGGATAGACATTTGTGGGAGATGCCTGGGCCCAAACTGGGATTTCTCAGCCAATGCAATGGAAAAGCCAAAGTGAGAAGAGTAACGTTTCAATCAGGTAAATTGTGCTAAGGTCCACGAGAAGCCACAAGGAGACCACCTGCCTTTCTAAAATAGCAATGGGCTACAGAGCAAGGAGTCAGGTCAGACTCTTTAGGGCACACTTGGGGTGCTGGGGGTGGGGATGGGAGCTGGGGGGTAGGCAAAGCAAGGGAAGGTTTCATGTAATTGCTTAGCCATAGTCATATCTCAGGGACCCACAAGGAGGGAAGTGAGACCTGAGATGAGTTTGTAGGTAGAAAGTGGGAAGGACTGCACTCCTACTTCAGCTAGAACCCATCTATTATATTTTATACATTGAATGACCAACTAGGATCCAGATTTTAAAAAATTAGTAGACTTTTTAGAGCACTTTTAGATTTACAGGGACATTGAGCAGAAATTACAGAGTGTTCCCAAATATCCCTTTTCCTTTCCAACCCATCCCTCACCCCATTTTCTCTTTTATTAACATCTTCCATTAGTGTGGTACATTTGTTACAAGTGATGAACTAATACTGATATATTATTATTAAAGTCCATAGTTTATTGTTACAAGTGATGAACCAATACTGATATATTATTATTAAAGTCCATAGTTTAAATTAGGGTTCACTCCTTGTACGTTCTATGAGTTTTGACAAACCCATAATGCCATGTATGCACATTATACTGTCAGAATAGTTTCACTGTCCTAAAAATGCTCTGTGCTCCATCTATTCAGCCCTCCCTGGACTCCTGGATTCCACTAAGCTTTTTACTGTCCCTATAGTTTTCCCTATGTCAGTCATATCTTTGTAATCGTACAACATGTAGGCTTTTCAGATTGGCTTCTTTTACTTAGCAATATGCACTTAAGTTTCCTCCATGTCTTTTCATGGCTTGAGAGCTCATTTCTTGTTATCACTGAATAATATTCCACTGTTTGGATATACTACAGTCTGTTGGATGTAGATTTTAAAAGAGGTCTTCTACAAAAAGCATGTTTAAAAATCACTGGTTTAGAAACAAATAAACACTGGGTTAGAGTTTATGGCTTTCTTTTATGAGGTAACCAAGATGTTGGATAGGCCACCTGCAGGGACAGCACCCAGGTAAACAGATGTGAGGACAGGTCAGAGTGACTGGTTTATAGGAAAACCTCAATTCCTACACACATATAAAAGACAATATTTAAAATGGCTGGTATTAAGAGAAAGAACACTGGACCAGGAATGAGAAGATGTGGTCCAATATGAGTCGAGCATAGAGTGACAATTTGTTTATTCACTCATTCATTCAGCACTGATTTACTGAACACCTAATTGGAAGATTCACGCTTGGTCCTGGGAATAGAATAATGAACAAAACAGATGGAACTGATGAGACTTTCAGGAGAGTCAGGCACTCGCCAAAAAGATCACACCAACGAATATACCGTTACATACAGAATGAAGTTTCGAAGGAAAACAACACGACTGCTATTGGAGAGCCAGGGGTAGTTCCCTATAGGAAGGGGCACTTGACCTGAGATCTTAGGAATAACTGGCAGTTGACTTGGATAAGGAAGAGGCTGTTACTCTTGTGACCAGCCCCACTAGCACCCTGCTTATCAGACCCTTCTCTTCCATTGTCCTCTCTATAAGGCAACTCCATGATGGAAATGCAGCCTTCTGTGGAATGACTGGGGCATACAGTGGGTATAACCCTCTGACACCAATCCAAAGAGCTGTCTAAGTACCTCCACACAATGCAAGGGTGCCAAAGACAATTAAGCTTTATTTCTTGCTTGCTGTGTCCTCCATCTCTTTTTTTTTCCAACAAAATATATTTTGAGCAGTCATGATATTCCAAACATGGGAGGTATAAAATTAAATAAAAGATGGTGTCTCCCTTTGTGGATGAGGCTGATGAGTCAACATGTAATTGCATAACACACTCCAACAGCAGCCCTTGCAGGGTGTTCTGAGGGCATCCACATGTGTTTTTCTTGTAGTATGTATTGAGTGCCCGCTGTATGTGTTGGGCCAGGGATGGAGAGATGAAGGAGGTATAGGATCTGCCTATAAGGACCTCACTTTCCAGTGCAGGAGATGATCTGTCAACGTAATTCAGTACAGTGAATCCCAAGATAGGCACAAGAGGTAACAGAACTGCTTGGAAGAAGGTACTGTTGAGAATCCTCGCTTAAAATCTTTTTTGCTTTAGGCAGAGGAAGTAGACTTCTTCCTAATTTATGGTAAAATGATTTATGGAAATGTATATACGTAACTATTTTAGCTAAAAAATTCTTTTCACTTAATCTGAGGCCTGAGATGACAAATTCCTCACTCTGCAGAGGGAGGCTCAGTGTTGCAGTATTAAATAAAGATTATGCAGCTTCCTGAGGTGGAAGACCGAAACCAGCATGCTGAGGTCAGTCCTGCTCAGATGCAAGTGACGTCTTTAGTTCTGGCTATGAATTCTCCTAGGGCCTAGTGAATGAATTCAATGTTGGGGGGTCAGATGTAGCCCTGATTTTCCTTTTGGAATAAAGCATCAACCACAGCCTGTTCTAATCTGTTGGACCCAGTGGGAGCCTCTCTTGGTTCAACCAGGGCCATTAGAGAAAGGCTGATGGGGGTCTGGAATATGATTCCCAGCCAGGATTTAAATGTGTCTGGTGGCCCCTTCCAGCCTCTCTGTACTGGCAGGTGTCTTCTGCCCCAGTATCATAGAGTCCAGGATGCAGGGGCAGCAAGCCCAGTGAGGATGTCTGTTTTTTGTCCACTATCTTTTGGGTAAGCTCTCTGCCTGATAAAGAGGCTGACGGGGGCAAACCATCTGCACCGTGTCATTCTGCCCACCACACATTCCCATGAGGAGGTACATGAGGCTGTGTCCCTAGGATGCCCAGTTTGCCTGCGTTGTCCAGAACCATTTATTGCTGTTCCAGTGCAGCAGTTGAGAATGTGGGCTCTGGACTTCGCCAGGTCTGGTTTTGAAATCCAGTTCTGCCACTGAATAGCTGTGAGGCCTTGGACAAGTGGCTTTACTTAGTTCTGAGGCCTGTCTGTAAAATGGGTATAATCACAGTACCTATATCAGGATCCTGACGGGAAATAGAGGCTGCACTCGGGTTAGGGTCATTCAAGCAGGTTTTATTTACAAAAAAGGGAAGCTCTCAGTGTGTGGAAGTGGTTTAGGAAGCCACACAAGGTAGTGAGGTAACTCAGGTTCATAGGAAAGAGGGAAGAGACAAGTGACAGGAACTCGAAGGGGGAAGAGGTGCTTAGCAAAGGCCTCTGTGAGAAAAGCCAAGACCTTAGTCTACCAGAAGTGGCCTCACAGGGAACGAACCTGACCTTCCTTTCCTTTCTTTCTCTGAAACCCTGCTCCCTTGAGGCTGCCTGTTGGCCGAACCCAAGGAGAAGCTAGGGGGCAAGAGAGCAGATGTCATAAGCTGCACAGACAAGCCTCCCAGGGCAGAGAGAGCAAAGTGGAAGCGGGGAGGGATGGTGGTGGAGGGCAAATGGAAGATACCCAGCACAAACTGCACAGCGTGGTGGAGCTGATTACAGAGCACAATGACCTAAGGCTTGTTGACCTTGAGGGCACAGTTCCTGGCACTGAGTATTTAAGGAATGTTAACCGTGACACTTCGTATTTCTGTTTTCTAGATCAAATGTGAAAGAGTTGGCAATGTTTCAGAGTTAAGCGCATGAAGCAGGGCCTAACTGGAGTAACAGGGATTTTACATGTGGTCCTCACCCATGCTCAAGTAACGATGAGTTTGTGGTCCTCACCCATGCTCAAGTAACAGTGAGTTTGTGCTCCCTTTGGTAGAAAAAGAAAACTGAGTGTGGTTTCTCCTGTCCAGAGGAATGTTCAAATTACTTCTTTGAACCCAGCCCACCTCCTACAACTCTTATCATCTTTTCTTTGCCATTTCGGGTTGCATGTGAATGTGCTATTATAAAGAAAATGTGATTTAAGCTACTGATCACTAAAGTAATGGTTCTCAAAAGAATAAGGGTTATTTGGGTTATTTGGAGGGGCAGGAAAAGGGGACTCCACCTAGCCATGAGGCAGTATGTGCGGGATGTAGAGGGTACAAAGATGACATGAGATCTCATCACCAGAGAGGCTGACTCGTAGGGATAGGTCCATTCCCAATCTTGGTATTAATGGATCTTCCACATGGTCCTTCTGCCTTAACTTTTGATGTGAGCATGAACCAGTCATGGTGCCTAGATTTCTGTAAATTTTGTGTCTTACCTCAGGAGTATTCCGCAGATTAACAAACATT